CCGGTCTGAGGGCCTCACGGAGCCAGTTAGTGACCCCAGTCCCGGTCCCAGGCCCCCCGACAGAGAAAGTGCCCTTTCCTGGTTTTCTTAGTTAGAAAAGGGCTCACAAAACCCGAATGCCGGCAGGGGTAGCTGAGCTCATTGAGCCAGCTGACCAGGGCATTGACCCATACTGTCGCATACCTGATCAGCGGCACTAAGCACCCTATCCTCTCAGGGGTTAAGAGGTTCTGGAATGTTCCAGCTTACCCACTACCGTGTGCATCGCAGTGAGCCAGCCTCGAGTCGCGCTTCAGGGGCACATGAATTGTTTTCCTCCCAACCTGAGTCGAGAGTTCCTTGAAATCAGAAACCACATTTATTGTTCTTCGATCTCCCCAGAGCACAGACCCAACGTGCCTGCAGTGGAGGAAGCATTATGGAAGGGTTTCTTGAACTGCTCTGTTTTTTGCCAATCAATACACATTTGCTAAGTGCACCCTGCTCGTGAGCGGCTCTATTTCAGGCAGCTTGCAGCCGCTGGTGCAGGAAGCATGGCACGTGCGGGGACCGTCTGTGTCTGAGTCACAGGGTGACTCTAAGGAAGGACAGGGTGAGCGCCCCTTGTGGGAAACAGAGCTCCACTTGTGAGTGGGGCTTGATGCAGGACTTTTCTCGTTATTTGAAATAAGTTCATATAGACCCAAATGGTGCCCGAAGGGTTCCTGTACAGCTTAACAAGTAGTGACAAGACAGACATATAGGGAAACTTTCTGGGGCCCAGAAACAGAACACCCCGAGATCGCTGTCACCCTGGCTTCTGTGGAAAGGACTTCCTCGCTCTCCTCACACAGTTTTCCCCATGCAGGGCTTCCTAAGTGAGAGGTGTGTTTCCCAAGTTTGTGATCCATCTGGGCGTTTTCTGCTGTGTCTGTCTTTTGCTCATCACTGCATTTGGGAGAGTCGTTGTGGTGCCAGGTGCCACTGGGGCTGGTCTGTCTCAGCACTTGAGAGTGTTCTCCTCACACCCGCACCCCTCATGCCCCGTGCCCCCCATCCCTGCACCCATGCCCCCCGCCTTTGCCCCGGACGACTTGCCCCCAGCTCAGGGCTGTCTGTCAGGCACGGTCCTGAGACCTTGCGTGTGCCTTTCTGCCCGGCACCCACACCGTGTAGTCCTGAGCCCCGGCCCGCACCCCCACCCTCTCCTGATGGGGCCCTCCCGTTTTCCAAACTGGTGGCAGCGTCCGGGTTCCCACCAGCCAGGCCCCAGAGTCCTTGTTGCTCTGCACAGTGGCCAGCCTTTATCAGCCAGCAGGACTTCAATAGCTGTGTGGTATTTGGGGCTATAACAAGGAAGGAATATATATGGATCTTAGTTCTTTCGGAGAGTTTTAATTTTTTATTTGCCATCTTATGTAGACTCCCGTCCAACCTCCAGCCACTGCCCACCAGCCTCACCTGCAATGGGTCCCACCTGCAGGGCACAGGGCACACAGCCGTGGCCGACGTGGACTTCTCTAGCACGTCCACAGGGCTCAGCTCCACCCCTGAGGTTACCAGGTGTACAGAGTCATCTGTACTGGTTTCCTTACCTGTCTGGACTGCCTTGTGCCTGTGGCATCATTTACCACTGACTCTGGGTGAAAACACTCTCACTGAAATCAGGATCTTTCTTACAATAATAGCATGTGATATTGAGTGGACCATGTGTTTTCTTTTTTGGTGGCATATAAATCATGGTGCACCTTGCAGTCCGCATTACCTGAGATTCACTGGGTGTGATAATCACTATAAATGGATGAAATTTCGGCTAGAAAAAAAAATTTCTATAGAAGATAAATTGAATACTTTGGAAATGTTTGGTATATATGAACACAAATGAGGAAAGGATTGGGTGAAATAATTGTAAACATTTGGGGGTGTGATTTTCTAGAAGGAGTCGGCTCTCAGGGCACTTTGCAAAGTTAATTTAAGTTCTCCCCCAGTCCTCTACCTTGAGAATCACACTGGAGATGGGGGGTGCTGGAAACGATTTGCGACCACTCGGCTAGGTCGTCTCTCTCCTTCCTAGGGGGATGCACATTTTCTCTCATGTCAATAGCATTGGAAATGGAGGGCATCTTAGATGAGAGGAAGTATAGGGTTCTGTAATGGGGCGAGTTCTCACTTTCCAGCTAAATATACGCAGTCCTGCTTCACCTTATGACCCTCAGGAAAGACGTACTTGACACGAAGCTAATGTTACAGATTGCTGAGCAGAGTGGCACTGTGAGTCTGCTGGGCAACAACTCTGAGGCCAGCAGGAGCTCTTGGAGCTCTTAGTAGGAGAGATAATTAATTCGTTATTACTTATATCAGTTTGAGTCACTTGCAACTGAAAATACCTTCATACGGCCCAGTACGCAGAGCCATGGTTTAACCAAAGAAGAAAGTAGACTCCCATTCAAAGAAGCCCTTGGCCCTGCCCAAAACAGTTGGCAAAATAAATATGTATTTATGTGTTTTAAGTTAAAACAGGATATTTTGGGAATTGATCTCTGTTTTCTCATGATTTCCTGATTCACTGCTGGCAGCGACAGGTCAGGGGGCTCCCCCGAAGTCCAGCGGGGGAGCAAGTAGGTAAGGAGGCATCAGGAGCATGCAGGTGAAATCGGGTGGGGAGTATTGCCGGAAGGGTGCCTGGTGTCTTTCTGGGGTCCTGGCACAGGTTGCCCATGACCCCCAGGAAGCCGAAAAACTTTCAGCCTCTGCTTCTGGAGCATGAGCACACCCTCCTCTACATTGGACACAGAATTTGTGGTCAAAATGTTCTCACATTTAGAGGGGTGAGGGGTAGCTTAATTCCAACGTACTTGAGATATGTGACAACATTGTTGCAAATGTGACAACATTGTTGCAACTTCCACTCCAGCCCAGGTCCCTGGTTTACTGCCTGTACCCCCAGATCAGCGTTCCTGCCTCTGCCCTTTCTTGCTCCCAGATGGCACTGAATAGCAGAACTCCCCTTGATGATGATGTTCTGTGTCTGTGGCTTCTAGAAGTGGGGTAGTGTGACTGAGGAACTACTTGTGGGTTTCTTTTTTTTTTTTTTACTTTTTATTTACTTGGAATACTTCTAGATTTATAGGAAAGTTGCCAAGATAGTAGAGAGGTGCCTGCATGGCTTTCACCCAGTTTCTCTATCTTGCATTGCCATGGTACATTTGTCAAATCTAAGACACCAGCATTGGTGTGTTATTAACCAAACTGCTGACTTTGTTTGAATTTCATTAGTTATTCCTTTAATGGAACTAACTTTTACATCTATTTAATTTTAGTTAATTTAAATTTAAGGAGCCCCGTGTGGCAGCTGGTTCCTGATTGGACAGCTCAGCTGTAGATGCTTTTCACCATAAGAGCCAATGGTCCTTTGGGAACTTGAGCCTGCCCATGGCTCGCCCTTGTCTCAGAGTCAAAGCCCGAGCTCTTGTGCTGGCCTGGAAGGTCCCTGGGCTCTCCATCCTCACCTCCTAGGACTTCTCGCTCTTGCTCACTCCATTCAGCACTGGCCCCTTGGAGTAAAGGGAGACTCTGCTGCAGATCGACTGGTTAGCATCACCCAGAGAGAGACCGTCTTTCTTACCAACATGGGCTAAGCAGCATAAACAGAAACCCTGCGCTCTGGAGGCAGATCAACTTGATTTATCCATGTCTTCAGCAGATAAGTACCGACAGCCGTCTACACACCAGGCTGTGTCTACAGGGAGCTTCCTCTCTAATAGAAGGACCAGAAAATGAAGAAATGAGCCAAGAGGCATATTGTATGTCGGGTGTTGAGAAGAAAGAGGAAGAAACATGAAGAAGAAGAGATGGTGGCATTTTAAATGCAGAGGGACTGAAACCCAGGCTTTGCTGCTTTGCTGCTGTGTGTTCTGGCACCAGGAGCTAACTTGGCTGAGCCGCCGTGTCTTCCTCCAGAAAATGGGGACACAAGTTCTGCTGGGATCCCAGTCCTGAGGATTTGCTGGAAGAGGCAGAATGCCAGTACATGCAGGCTTCTGAGTAACGCCGGAGTCTTCTCATTGTCCCGTGGCTCTGATCTCCAGTCACAGGATCAGAAGAGGACCACGTACCGAGGTTTGGTCGTCTGTGAGAAGGTCTAACTGTGCTGAGCGGAAGGTTGAGAACGCACCTGTTCGAAGAGGTGAGCACTTCATCCGCAGGAAGCCACACCCCCCCCCCCCCCCCCCGAACTGGTGAGCCGCACCCAGCGCACAGCTGAATTCATCTCTCTGTCCCATTTTCTTGGGAGATTTAATGAACAATGTGGAGAGAAAGAGGCAAAGAAATGTTATTTTTTTTGCTGGTAATTTGTTTTCTATTTCTCCTTCAAGATGGTGAGACCACTGGGGGGAAGGCCACAAAATAATCTGAACCGGCATGCCTCCAAGTGCTGATGAGAAAGATCGTCCACACCAAGGGGGTCTCCGGACAGAGGCTGAAAGCTCCAGAAGGGCACACGTTGGCGTTCCAGGCGTCCTGAGACAATGCACGGCAGAGTGCTGGGCTCATGTGTGGAGTACTGTTCCTGAGCACATTTCATCTGAGCCTTTAATGGTGGAGAAACAACTGGACAAGTACAGGCTGAGGAACATCTATGGGACCACGGCCCCCCGCTCTTTTCATGAGTGTGAATGCTGTAAACACAGCAACAGGGGACGGTTGATTAGATAGAGAACCCTACACGGATGTGGCAGCTGGCTGCACACCTTGATCCTTGACTGGATCGTGGATTGGGCAAAATAAACAGTTTAAAAGATATTTGGGGAGAATGGGAAATTGTAAAATGGACCCAAAATTAAATAACATGATATACATGCTAAACCTCCAGGCTGTGTTCATGACTGTGGTTGCCAAGAGGTCTGGCCCTGTAGGGGGAAGCGTGTGGAAGCATTTTGGGGGTGAAATGTCAGGACACTTACAATTTTGCCTTCAAAATCACCTAACAACGCAATGAGCACCAGTGTTATATGCAACTGACGAATCACTGGGTTCTACCCCTGAAACTAATAATACACTATATGTTAACTAAATTGAATTTAAATAAAAAGTTTAAAAAATAATAAAAAAATAAAAGCTAAAATAAATACCAAAACACACACAGAGACACACAAACACACACACACACACCTATACAGGGATGTTTGCGTGCATCTGTGTGTGAATGAGGGAGAAACAGCAGATGTGGCCAAGTGCTGAAGTACTCTTTCAGCTTTCTCAAGGTGTAAAGTTTTTAAAAACTAGAAGTTGGGGAAAAAAACACAATGGCAGAGGAACAGCCATTGAAGAACAAAGAAGCATTCTGATTAAGATATCCTCTAAAACTCGTGTTGACTGGGGGAAATGAGTAGCCTTTCTCAGGTTGTGGGGATTCCCATTCTAGGCCTGAGCTCCCTCACCCGGCAGGCCGAGGGCAGGGCCCTATCGCCTTCCGTGGTCTGCTGGGTCTCTGACACCTCGTAAAGTCGCATGGCAACGCGATGGAAAGCAAAAGGAGGGACGGAGCATCCCAGAGCGCTCCAAAGCCCTGAACTACTGAGATCCTCAACATCTCGCAGCTGGCTGTTGCCGAGGCGGCTCACCCACCCCTATGTCTGCCCTGTCACTTTAGGGGACGTGGAAAGGAAATGCCATGTGGAAGAAGGAGCTCAATCAGGGAACATTCTGATGGAATCTACTTCACAGACTCAGGGTAATTTCCTCTTAAGAAAATAAAAATTTTCGATCATAACATGTTGGAAACTATCTGTCAGATCATCCAGTAAAACACCCTGACATCCCCCAGGATGAAAGGCTCAGAGTAAGGGAGCTGCCCAAGGTCAGAAAGCCACCTGGCGCAGAGGCAGCCCCCGACTGCATGCTCCCCTCAGCCCCTGCTCCTGCACCCACACCTGCTCCTCTTCCTCCCCCCACCCCTGCTCCACCTCCTGCACCCATATCTGCTCCCATCTCCTGCAGCCACACCTGCTCCCACCTCCTGCACCTGCTCCCACCTCCTGCACCCACACCTGCTCCCACATCTGTTCCCACCTCCTGCACCCACAGCTGCTCCTGCACCCACACCTGCTCCTGCACCCACAGCTGCTCCTGCACCCACACCCGCTCCGGCACCTGCACCCACACCTGCTCCTGCACCCACACCCGCTCCGGCACCTGCACCCACACCTGCTCCTGCACCCGCACCTGCACCTGTTCCTGCACCCACACCTCCTCCAACACTTGCCTCTACTCCTCACCTGCTGCTCGTGTGCCGAGTCCTGCTGTCAGTACTAGAGCCAACAGAACACACTTCACCCTTTCTGACTAAACACAGTCAGTAAGGGGTGGCTTGTTTCATGTCCAATACTCAATGCAGAGCGTTGTGATGATCTTTATGGTAATTCTGTTGAACTACTGCTGAAAGGTGTCTCCTCTGGGGAGGAGTAAAATGCGGCACTGGAAACATTCTTTGGAAGTAACCCTGGCTCTCTTTCTTTCCAGTAGTTCAGAGGCAAGCACTTGTTAAATGAGAGGATATTAAGAGTCTTTGCCATGAGGCATGGGCACGTGTCTTGGAAAACATAACCAGCGTGGTTGAAGAATCACTCCATTTAGATAAAAGCACAACCTGCTGTTGGCTCTCATCATCTCCCATGGTTCCGCCGGAGGGAGAGGCTTTTCCTGCAGGGGTCTGCTCAGCGTGATGGCCAGTGCTGGGGAAGAGGTCTCTGTGAGACAGATTGAGAATATTCATGTCTGCAAAGCCTGATAATCAAAAATAGTAAGCGTTTGGGGCGCCTGGGTGGCTCAGTCGTTAAGCGTCTGCCTTCGGCTCAGGTCATGGTCCCAGGGTCCTGGGATCGAGCCCCGCATCGGGCTTCCTGCTCAGCGGCGAGCCTGCTTCTCCCTCTCCCACTCCCCCTGCTTGTGTTCCTGCTCTCGCTGTCTCTCTCTGTCAAATAAATGAAAAAAAAAATCTTAAAAAAAAATAGTAAGCGTTTGAAGATGTATGCTTTAAGTGAAACATAGGTATTAGTGAACATGTTTATTCATATTTGTGAAGCAAGCGCCCCCTGAGTCACATCATCCCCTTTCCCATTTGTTTCTGTTCCTGTGGCAAACCAGCAAGCCTGCGTTGGAGTGGATGGTGCCTCTCCCCTCACACCTTTCTCTTTTCCATCCATGTAGTTTATAAAATGAACCAAGAGTCACAAGCAAAATGCTCTTTGGTGTTTTCATCAAGTCACACAAGACCTGGGCAAAGTTCAGGTTGCTCTGCTCTCTGTACTTCAGGTTATTAATAAGAAATGTAGGGAAACATTTGTACTTTTCTGGTGATCTGGTAAAGGCTTACCAGCCCTTCTAAGGGCCGATGACCATGTAGGTTCTGTCTTCTTGGGCCTGATTTGAGAACTCTGGGGCCTGACTTGACTGGAGCTCATGCCAAGAAGGAGCCTGGCGAGTTTCCAGGGATTATTTACCTCCTCAGAAAGGACATAGGACAAAAAAGGTGGAATAATGAACAACAGAGTGGCCAGTTTGGAGGTCAGAGCATCCACAGCCCAGTGTGAAGGCCAAATCTGGCCCGTGCAGAGCCCAGCGTGACAGAGTCAGCCCACAGAGTCAGTGCAGCCCGGGAAGGTGAGCACTGGGGGGCTCTCCCATGTGATCTTGGCAGTGGGAGTTTGATTCCAGCGCTTGCCCAGTCGACTAAAGAGAGGTTCCCTTGCTCTCGTGGTCAAGATGAGGCGTGAAGAGCCCTGTGCAGCTCACAGTGGGGCCACCTGGGACAAATGAGATCCTGGATGTCCCCTAACACCAGGAACCCAAGCAGGTGGCTCTAGGACTTCAGCAGTGAGGTATTACGCAGCATCTGATCATCTCGCCCTCTGCCAAGCATGAGTTGCCCCTCCACGTCATGAAGAAGCTTGCTGTGAGCAACACAGAAAATAGCTTGGTTAAGTCAAGAAATGATGTTAGATTCAAGGTTGAGTCCCATGAAAATGACCCCCATGTGCCTTCTGCTAAGTTCCTCAGAGGGAACACCGTGAAAATGATCCAGCTGTGCATGGGAGGCACTGCAAGGAAAGCAGACTCATTTCTTTTCCATTGAAGACTATGTGTTTTCAACTGTCTTTTGGGTAAAACCATGTGTTGTAAATTTCCCAAGAAAAGGTTAAGATACTGAATAATATGTTTCAAGTGGGAAAGAAAATTGGAATGAAAATGCACATGGAAATAAGTTCCTGGTGAGATGTTTTGTCTTTATAGCAAACAGAAATGAGAGGATGCCCTACCCCAGAACGGCCTTTGCCATGTGTGATCTGAAGGTGTTTTCCTCTTGAGACCGCCCAAAGCCCCAGCCCTCCGACCGACTTCCCCTCTCCACAGAACGGAGGCGTTCATGGAGGCGTTCTTGCTGAGTCTCTCTTTTAAACTTCTTTAAGATTCTCACATTGGTTTAGCCTTCAGTGGTTTTGAAAACCCAACAGCAGGAAAGAACGAAGGGCTGTCAGGAGCAGAGCAGTAACAGGAGCCTGCGTGGACAGACTGCACCTTCTGCCCCTGAATCCTGACTGCGTTCGCCATAGGTCGTCAGCATCCAGGGCGGTGTGGGGTGAGGGACTGGCTGGTCTGGGTCAGTTGTGGGGGCATCCCAAATAACCATGAGCTACAGCAGACACACTGGTCCCTCGGAAGCTATATTTCAGGATGGACCAGGGAAAAGCTCTGAGGATGTATTAAACCCAAGAGTCAGCTAGCAGCATGTTGTATGCATGCCTTGTAAGCCACACATCGGCATGTGTCATTGTCATTGTTAGCCAGCTAGTCAGACATGCTGTTTAAGAACCCTGCATAAGGGTTGTTGTCACCTCCACAGACTCTCAGTAAGCTTAGTAACTAATGCTGTAATATTTGATCACTATCACTAGTGTTTCAAAGCGACAGTGTAAAGTGCCTCAAGGAAATCCTTTTCTCCCCTTCTTAAGATGAAAGCATCCTTAGCTTTCCTTGGGTTTCCTTTGTCCTTCTGTGAAGAACTGTCTACCGTTAATACAATGTTCAGCTAAGCAAGAAAACAGCCTAGTGGATATTACAATCCTTTGCAAAGTTCGGAAATATGTAAGAAGTGAATCAACTGCAAGCTTCTAGTTTTATTGCTTGTAATAACCTGTTTTTCAGGTACACTTACATAATGCTGTGCACTGAGATAATTGCATAATCTGGTTTAAAAAAAATCTTTGAACTGCTGCCCACATGAGAGAACACTTTCCTGTACTTGCTGGGTTGTACAAATGGTTACATCAATTGGAAGTGGAAGACGTCGTCTGCTTTTCACCAACAAGAAAGAAAAAAAAATAAGGTGTGACCATGAGATAAAGTAGAGAAAGTACCAGTGTTCAACCAAGAGATCTCTCGGTTCTGATCTGAATTGTGATCCTCACTTAGCTGGTGATGTGTTCTGTGCTGACATTTTTGGGTAGACAGTGTCCACAGCTATAAAATGAGCTGGACGAGGGAGGGTATGAAACGTGGTCACATCAGGTGCATGCCCAAGCAGGCAGAGAACTTTTGCATGGAGCTGTTCATGGGCCAGGATCTTAGGCGCTAAAAACAAAGCAAAACAAAATGGCCTGTCCAGGTATTAGGCCTGAGCCAACCTGAGTCTCATGAGCTCTATGCACCCACCTCAGATCTCACTACGCTGCCCAGACACAGATGAGTCCTGCAGTTTTGTCTGTGTTCCTGGGAGACACCTTTCTACAGATTGCTCTGAGAGTCCAAATCATTCAGAACTTCAGCTGCAACATTGGGATGGGAGGATGAAGGGATTGGGTAAGCTT